CCACGACAGTCAAAGAGTCATTGAAGCCACGCGTGGAATTAGGCGCTCAAACCCATGATGGTTTTCGGCCTGCTTGTCCAACCTCCTCTGTGGGATGCGCGTCCCAAACAAAAATTACAATACAGTTTCATAGTAAATATCGCGATTTTTGAAAGCTTATTATTCGAAGGATATTCATGTAAACGTCTTCAAACTTTGTATACTTACTAATTTTGAGGTGGTCTTTTTAGTGATTTGGTTCATTTCTTAATTTGGGCACTTTTTAACACTCGTCCCCAGTCCACTCATCAACTTCGGAATGGCTAATTGTTTTAGTATTTTTACACAAGCTTGTCTGTTTTTTGAGACTGAATTTATGTTAATTTCGCTTATTTCTTTGTCAGGAAACTTCCACAAAATGGGTAGCCGCCATTTTGAAAATTTCTGTTTTGTTATTTTCACCTGTAGGTGAATATTAACGCTTTATTGACCGAGCGTGAGGTCTGTACTGTGAAATATCAGACCGAGGTTTTTTAGTATGGACCGAGCGACGGAGCGAGGTCCATGCAAAAAACAGAGGTCTGATATTTCACAGTACAGACCGAACAAGCGATGTCAATAATCGGTTTATTATATGGCTGAACTGAGTCTGTGAGCATATGCTTTTCGTGCGAATTAAATCAGCTATCGTCAGTTTCACTGGGTAACAATATACGGTAGGTAGGCATGCATGCTCAATCAAAAACAATTTGGTTGTTTGAAATTTTTATCTGTAAATTTTAATGACACACAATTGGAAAATTAAAAAGCAAAAATCAGTTTTTTCTGTCTGCAAAGCAAAAATTTTCCGCCAGATTAACGACATCCAGGACACCGGTCCAGATACGGAAAATACGGACCACGGTCCGGATATGGGTTTTTACGGACCGCTTGTCAACCAATCAGAATAGAGAATTTTGAAAAGTCATATAATAAAACAGCTTATTACGTCAAATTTGACCAATCAACGTGTAGGATTTGTGTTCCCTTATGCAAAAATACTAAAGTGTGTTATTGCGAACAAAATATATATGATATATGTACACTTATAAAGCCACGAGAGTTAATATGTTGGTGGAAATTTCGAGTGTAAATTTTATACAAATATTAGACCTATACAGAACCTATACAGCCGTGCGATTCCGGTGCAGTGTTCTAACCATGCTGAGCTACAGAGCAGCTTCATGTTAGTATAAAATTTTTCACCCGAAATTTCTATAAACATAACCCTTCAACAATTTAGTTATATCGAGTGAGATGCCCAAATTCCACATTTTCACTAAATAAATATTGTTGGTCAAAAGAACATGCATCTGAGACAACCAATTTAAATTGGTTATTCTAACTAATCTGTTTTCACAGTGCACCCACGCAACACTCGTTCTTAACAGGGTTGGCGAAAAATGGCCTGACCGGCTCTGTACCAATGGAAAGATGTGGTCTATGTTTCTCAAATATCTCGCGAAAATGGACCTCATTCTTATTTTATCTAAATTTTCCGGTCAGATAGATCCGAAACCCAAACGTTTTGTGTTCCATTCAACAATTTGACCGTTCTGACCGGTCTGACCGTGTATTAGGAAAGCGCCCTATGCATTGAGGCGCGCTCAAGTTTTGCCCCCTCCTTTAAAAGAGATATAGAGACCTATATCGTATTCTTGGGTTATGGGATGGACGACTTCGCGCTTTTGACTTGTTGCCTAATATCAAGAATCACATACGCGTGGATTGCTATTTAGTATTTTTTTTATAAATTTATGCAAATTTACAAAACGACGAAAATAATGTCACATGAGCTTAATATAGGTTATCATAGAGTAAATCGTTGTAGTTCCTATTCATCCACAATTTGAGGCTTAGAATAAAAGCAAACGGACTTTTTGCAGCTTTGGTCATAGTTATTCAATACCGATTCGGGTATGTTATTTTATTATAATTCTGAAACTGGCACAAAAACTGTTTCTTTTAACTATTTTAGAAAACAAAAACAAGAGGAAAAAAAGCCTAAGAATAATGGCCTTGAAGATTTAAAGGTAAACTTTTAATCTTACATTAATTATTAAAAATGTAATGTACAGCTAGTAAATCACAAACACTGGCGGCAACGCAATTTTCCGTTTCGTAAACCGCCAGGATCACCAGTTACAATCGGTGTCCACTATCAGCCTGCGTCAAATTCAGTGAATATGAAATGAGATATTTACCCATTCATCTAAACTTTCGGCTGATACGTCCCCCTGATATGTCCTGTGTAGCGGCGTGCATTGTACTGTCATGCACATAAATTGAAATTATTGGCCCTTAAATTTGGCTCCCCTGGCCATATTTCCTTAGCAAATTTGGTCCCTTCTCCAAACATTTGCTCCCCCCATTTTTTTTTCGTTTGTTGACGAAATAATATTGGTCAACATATATGAGCATTTAACAAATATTTAACAATTATTCGCCGAAGGCGAGGTGATTCTCGGACCGAGATGAAATCGAGGTGAATATTCCCCGATTTAGTATTGTTTTAGTATTTGTACACCAGTTTTTTGTTTTTTTGGAACTGAATTTATTTTAATTTCGCTTATTTCTTTGTCAGTAACTTCCACAAAACGGCTAGCCGCCATTTTGTAAATTACTAAATTTCGATTTTGTTATATTCACCTGTAGGCGAATATATAACAGCTTAATACGTCAAATTTGACCAATCAACTTCTAGGATTTGTTATGTTCACTTGTGCAAAAACACTAAAAACATATAATCCATTAAAATTAGTCTCTTTTATGAGGCATATTTGTCAAATCCATACGAAATCGGCGGCGGCGACACAATTCAGTTAAGAGTTTCTACACGTCAGACGAACAGGATTTCATGATATGCGGCAGTACATAGTGTCCCTACACGGACGTATCAGTCGAAGGTTTGGATGGATGAGTGAATATATGATTCCATATTCATTGTGGATGTAACGCAGGCTAAAAGTGGTGACATTCGTTGTTACTGGTGACCCTGGCGGTTTACGAAATGGAAAATTGCGGCGTCGACAAGGAGGTTATCCACTCCCCAATATTTTCAGCATTACCCCCCCCCCCGCCTCCTCCTTCTGTCCTTTCTCCTCCCTCCGGCTATCTTTGGGTATCATTGCCCTTCCAAAAAGTATCATTGTCCCCCTCCTCCACGGGTATATCACTTTCCCTCCAGAGATTAGTTTGCCCCTCGAACGTTTGAAGCCTGGCTCTGCCATGCACTGGTCACAAATCTTTGGGCATTTGATTCTAGTCATATAACATTTCATGATGTGTTTTTAACAATCGATTTTGCAAATATGTAGCGTGTACCTCTAGCTAAGAAATGGTACACAAATCTCTGCTATTTATAGGTCAAAGTCTCACTGGCTTGGGATAGGGTTGATAATTCAAGAAAGCAAGACATGAATCTATAACCTAAGCAAATCTCTTAATTATGCTCTATGACCTTGAATAATTTTCTTGTTCTAGTTGCCTGACAACATTGAAGGTAGTATTAGCGAGAACAGCAATTCGAATGTCAATTTGGGTTTTCCAAGAAAAGACTCTAGTGCATCATCTGAATACCATGAGCTACCACCAGATGTACCAGAAGTAGAACAAAACGAAGCTTAGGGTATCATGCACTGTTATCAAATCTGTATACATAGTCTTGACGTCACGTTTTACCATCAACATGATAACGGTTTGGTACACCTACTGCGACAGTTACTGGACTGCTTGCTGTAATACGTTTTGATTGAAGGCTTGCGTGACAAATTGAAGCTGACGAATATGAGAGTAACTGCTAATGGGAAACAACGCTGACTATGAAAAACACTGAGTAAAACAGCATGCTGACGCATAGCCAAATATTTTCCGTGCAATATTTAGACATTTTGGCAAAACTGTTTGAAAATTTCGGTCAAAACAAAATACATTTGGTCAAAAAAGCAAACAAAAAACAATATGTGATATAAATTTCATCCTTCATTCGCCTATAAAGCTGTTTTCAACAATTATTTATATTTGTAAAAACTTGTCTACAAGCTTGCTACAAGCCTGTTGAGAACATATCTTGTAGACCAGTTGCTGGAACAGCATTGTCACAACTTGTTAACAAGTTTGCTACAAGGCCGTTGAGAACATATCTTGTTGACAAGTTGTTGGAACAGCATTATCACGACAAGTTTGTCTTCTAAAATTGCCTCAGCCAGCAATTCATTGTGCGCCGCCATCTTGGATGTTTACTTTCGTACACTACCCATGCTCTGTTACGACAATCCATAAGCAGATAGCTTTCGATCGCCGCACATGGAAAGATTTTGGCACGCGAGGCAGAAATTATCAAACATGTTAGATATTTGCCGTAAGTGGCACGAATGACAAAAGTCGTTCGTAAATCGCCCGCACACGAGAGCTATCTCCTTACGCCAACAGTATGACATTTGGCTCAGCACATAGCTCCAGTGTGCGCCAGCCAGGAGAAAGCTCTCGTGTGCGGTGCACTTTTGTAAGTTTTTCGTCACTCGTGACGCGTAAGACAAATATCCAACGTGTTGAATATTTTTTGTCACGAATGAACATTTCCTCCGCGTGCGCGCTCGAAAAGCAACCTTTCATTGTAAAATGTAGATCGAATAGGCATGCGTAATAAAACATAAGACAAAAGGAAAATAATTAATGAGGAATGTGATACATGAGTAGCGACATATGAATATTCCTCATTAATTATTTCCTTCTGTCTTATGTTTTATTACGCATGCCTATTCGATCTACAATGAAAAGTGTGCGCCGTGCTTTATGGGCTAGAGCAACTGGCCGATGAAATGATGCCCACCGTTGAAATCCATATATTGTGGGACGGTGCGGCTGGTTGTTTTCAGATTGCCCAAATATTTATATATTTGCAGCATTGTATACATGGAATATTCAATTTGCGGCTGCCTCCGATGTATGTCATTGTAATTATTCCCCGCTGCTTCGTGTTTTGTATGTTTCTCTAATTTCATGTTTTATGGGCTAGAGCAACTTGACTGTTTTCAGATGCCCACGTTGAGATTACAACATTGGGTTTTTTCTACACAGAACTTTTCATCAATTTGTGGCATTTATATACAGCCAATTCAAAAAAGGTTGTCCTTTGCAAACCTTGCATGAACTTTAATTTTAAATCTTAAACCTTAAGAGTGAATGTCAGTAAAAATCGAACATATGAGACATTGCGCGGCCACGACTGAAAAATCGATTTTGCTCAAATTTTGCCCAGATATACCTTATTATATCGGAAAATGCACCATATATGTTTTTAGGTCAAATGCTTTTTTAACTTTGAGAAAATGCCGTTTTAACACGACCACCCTAAATCGCCATTTTTTCTGGGAAAATATGCGCTGATTTTACAGATAAATTTCACGACGACAACCGTTTCTAATCGATCTAAAACCCTAAAAATCTTGTTTTCGGTTATTCAAAGGACTGTATACATGACTTACAGGAAATCTGAGTTACGTTTAGGAATAGATATAATCGTAGTTTTGGAGCACATTATCTTACTTCATTTACGATACCCTCTTAACAAAATCGATTTTCACCATGCGATAAAGCTCCAAATCGATCATGCTTCTACTAGTTGGCTCTTTAATAAGCAAGCTTTCAATTGACGTAAATACTTCTTTTGGCAAATGAATACGCGATAAACGACAGCGCATTGAAATCGTCCGTTTTTGACGTCTTGCAAGTCAAACGTTGTTAATTTACATACCGTCGAAGTAAACAATTTAATCAAGTATTTTAAGTATTTTACCTTTTGTGAAGATATATTCATGAATGGAGACTTTTTGCCTTGCTTAGTTTAAAATTGGTCCAAAAATCCCGAGATATTTGTAAAATATCATCCTATACAGGTATTTTGAAATATAATATTGTTGTCAGTAGCATGACAACTTCAGATCATTGTTCAATATTGTCTACTTTTAATAGCGCAAACATACAAATCGATGAGCTGTTTAGGGATTTTATATTTGTTACTAAATTTCCCAAAATTAGAACTTCAATTGACAATTGTTGTTTTGTTCCAGTTTGCATTGATCCATATAATGTACCATTTAGTATTTACATATCGACTATTGAGTATAAATGTTTACGAATACATAAGTTAATTATTAAGCAACTGTTAATAGCGTGCGTGTGAAATGAACATTTATCCATACAAGGATTTGTTATTTTATTATATATTCTACCACCTCAAACTCAAATTATAGGCATATAGCAAATACTGTAGTTTAGAATAATGTGTGTTTACTTTGATGCACAATTAAAATAATCAGTAAAATTACTTTATTTTGATACATTAATGTCTATTGATCTTATTATATTTCACAAGTACTAGTACCCAAAATACAGCATTGAGATATGTTGGCCCAGTGCGACACTACAAATTATTATTGTCTCCCCACACGTCGCGTTTAAAGAAAATGAAAGCTTGTTGCTCGTTTAACGCCGGATTAACCACGTGTCAAATACGGCAAATGCCGCGGGCCTCGCGCTTTACTGTGCTACGCCCATTTTTACGAGAACACGGCCATTTTTCTTTTGCGACACACCCATTTTAGGT